GGTCCCCCAAGGCTCAATCCTTGGACTACTGCACTTAAATCTCTGCATGCTTCCCCTGGGTCAGGTCATACACAATATCAACATTAACTATCATAGTTATGCAGATGACAACCTGATCTACCTAGCTCTGTCACCTAGTGACTGTGGTCCCCTAGACTCATTCTGTCAGTGTTTGGAGCAAGTCAGTGACTAGATGCAGTCAAACTTCCTCCAGTTAAACAAAGACAATACAGAAGTAATTTTCTTTGGAAATAAGAAGGATAGGATGGAGGTTATTGCTCAACTTGGCTCCAGACAAATAAAGACAAAGACCCAGGTTAGAAATCTTGGTATCATGATTGACTCAGATCTGTGCTTCACTGGTCACATTAAAGCTTGTAACAAGATGGATGGGTTACATTTATTGAATGATCAATAAGATGTGATATTCCATACAAATGGTAAATGGCCTGTATTTGATAGAACACCTATATATACACTCACCTAAAGGATTATTAGGGATACCATACCAATACAGTGTTTGACCCCTTTCACCTTCAGAACTGCCTTAATTCTATGTGGCGTTGATTCAACAAGGTGCTGAAAGCATCTTTAGAAATGTTGGCCCATATGGAGATGTGTGGGATGCACATCCAGGGCACGAAGCTCCCTTTCCACCACATCCCAAAGATGCTCTATCGAAGGGGTGTCAAACTCAAACTCACACGGGGCCAAAATGAAACTCTGGGACGGAGTCGAGGGCCAAACTTAATATTTTTTGGAAAAGTGACGGCAAATTTGCACATTTTCTTTATCAACATATATGCAATTTTGAACCTTTAAATTTGGAAACAAACTTATTTCTGGATTAACACTGAATGTGGAATAACCAAATGACACACGAGCAAGTCAGTTTTAAATAAAAGGCATCAGTGGTATTCATTACTTGTGGTATAATCAGCATTTTTAAAATCTATTCAGGATTTATGTTTTCTTGATTATTCATTTTTCTTATTTTTTATTCTCCTTTTTTTCTCCTGTAATAAGTGTCATCGCTGCTGTGACGTCTAGCTTTCCCCACTGAGGAACAATAAAGGGATTTTCTATTCTATTCATCTATCTGCAGCCTTTCCACTTCCTGTTTACTGTAGGTTAACTCTTTTCTCACGGGCCAAAAACAAAATAAAAATATCATTTTATCTTAAATGAAAATGCAACATCTCACCTGTTAACTTTCATGTTTTGGAGCAGAAAAAGAGCATAAAACCAACATATTTAAAGCTCAGTTTGCTCCACTGGTTTACTGTGATGCTCACCTGTTCCAGCCAGATACCTGCATGAAGGGGTTGATCTGAGCTGAGGAGGAGACTCCTGTTGTTTTGTTCATCTTCATCATAATAATGACAACATTAGATGACAACAGGTGCTCACATAGGTTTGTGCTGCTGAACATGTCTGAGCAGCTGGACCACGTTGTTGTGTGTCGGGGAGGAAACACAACGACAGCAACCACAGAGTCGTGCTGGTTTGAGCGTGTCGTTGCTCGCTGGAGTTATATCAGCTCTGTCTGGAAGTTAGTTGGAAAACTTTCTCTTTCAGTCGTGAACACATTACTGAGCGGTTAAAATCTCCGTTTCTGGGCTTCAACGTCAGAAAATAGCTGAGTGAACTCGGCGCTGAGTGAGAGGAGTGTTTAGTTTGTCCGAGACAGCGGAGCTGCACACACCGGCAGCAGACGCTGGAAAAAACACAAAGGAGGGGGTGTGTCGGCTCCGCGCTGACGCCGCAAAGCATCATGGGAGTTGAAGTCTTTGTGGTAAAATTGGCCAGCGGGCCCGTTTTAGTATATTTTTGATTTTTATCTCGCGGGCCACATAAAAATGCTCCACGGGCCGCATCTGGCCCGCAGGCCTTGTTTCTGACATATGTGCTCTATCAGGTTGAGAGCTGGTGACTGTGGGGGCCGTTGTAATACAGTGAACTTCTTGTCATGTTCAAGAAACCAATTTGAAATGATTGTAGCTTTATGACATGGTGCATTATCCTGCTGGAAGTAGCCATCAGAGGATGGGTAAATGGTGGTCATGAATGGATAGACATGGTCAGAAACAATGCTCAGGTAGCCCGTGGCATTTAAACCATGCTCAGTTGGCACTAAGGGGCCTAAAGTGTGCCAAGAAAACATCCCCCACACCATTACACCACCACCACCAGCCTGCACAGTGGTAACAAGGCATGATGGATCCATGTTCTCATTCTGTTTACGCCAGACTCTGACTCTACCATGTGAATGCCTCAACAGAAATCAAGAATCATCAGACCAGGCAACATTTTTACAGTCTTCAACTGTCCAATTTTGGTGAGCTTGTGCAAATTGTAGCCTCTTTCCCATTTGTAGTGGAGATGAGTGGTACCCGGTGGGGTCTTCTGCTGTTGTAGCCCATCTGCCTCAAGGTTGTCGTGTTGTGGCTTCACAAATGCTTTGCTGCATTCCTCGGTTGGAGCGGGTGGTTATTTCAGTCAATGTTGCTCATCTATCAGCTTGAATCAGTCGGCCCATTCTCCTCTGACCTCTAGCATCAACAAGGCATTTTCACCCACAGGACTGCTGCATACTGGATGTTTTTCCCTTTTCACACCATTCTTTGTAAACCCTAGAATTGGCTATGCGTGAAAATCCCAGTAACTAGGCGGATTGTGAAATACTCAGACCGGCCCATCTGGCACCAACAACCATGACACACTCTAAATAGCTTAAATCATCTTTCTTTCCCATTCTGACCTTCAGTTTGAAGTTCCGGAGATGGTCTTGACCAGGACCACACCCTTTAATGCATTGAAGCAACTGCCATGTGATTGGTTGAGTAGATAATTTCATTACGGAGAAGTTGAACAGGTGTTCCTCACAGTCCTTTAGGTAAGTGTAAATATGGATTTGATATACATATGATATATAAATATGCATTATCAATCTGATTGGTCTTTGAATATTTGATTTAATATTACCTTAGGTTCTTTGGACTATTCAGGGAACACACTGGATATAGTTTATAGATTTATGAAGGAATAACATTCATGTTAATCCTTCATAAATCCTTCATTATTGTAGAGTATTGGATACATTGTTAAAACACTTTGGATTGAAACGTATTGTCCGTTCAACAAAATATAATCGTATAAAAGTTATAAAATTATGTAGTCATTTTATGAGACAGGGAAGATAAACTTTATTAAAAGAGGACAGATAAAAGGTCCTGCGTCTTCTGCAGCCTTGAAGACTCGTGACGTACCTCAGGACAAGTTAAGAATATTGGCTCAAGTTCATAGACTTCATATCAGCACCACGGTGTCAGACTGACCTGTATGACGAAGTAAAGTTTTGGTCATACTGATGAAATGCTTGGCCGGTTGGTACGCTACAGGCTCTGACACAATCATCATTTTGTCGTCTGCATCAAAAAGCACAACTCAGAGTTTTCATGTCCAGACAAGACGTAGAGAAACTCATTCATGTGTCCATCTCCAGCAGGCTGGACTTTTGCAATGGTCTTTTGACTGGTCTTCCCAAGACAGCTGTGTTCATAAGACTGCTTCTAGAGTCTTAACAAGAACCCAGAGAACCTAACACATCACTCCTGTTCTTAAATCTCCACACTGGTTACCAGTAAACTACAAAATCTATTTCAAAGTACTTCTACTAGTTTATAACTCACTCAATGGCTGGGGCCAGTATACATGTCAGATCTCCTTCAGGCATAAATGCCCAGCAGGGCTCTGAGATCCTTGGGAAACAGTCAGCTGGCAGAATCCAGAACCAAACTGGGTGAAGCTGCTTTTCGCTACTATGCAGCACACAAATATAATCAGCTTCCTTATGACCTCAAATGTGCCCCAACTCTGTAAAACATTTAAATCAAAAATGAAAACCTTCATGTACAGCCTACTTAACTTTAACATTCAAAATGTGCTCATAATACTACTTGTTTGAGAGCGAGTGGTCCTTCTCTGTACTAAAATTAGAAGAAATCTGTAAATTGAACTAATCAAAGGAGGGACTGGGGTCCCAAGAGACCACACAGCTCATGCACAACTCTGATCCTGTGTTTGTTACAGAAAACCTGCATCCAACAGTTCGTTTGCAAGCAGATCCATGTCTACGAGGGAATACCATGCTCACATTTATTTGTTTATATGACCATCTGAGAAGGATTGGATCAGCACGGTTGAACACAGAGGGTGAAAAACGCACACACAAAAAAACTCGTTTATCATTAAACCAGAGCCTAGCTGACAAGAAGTGCATTAACAGACCATTATGGATCAATAGCCTCTCCATGGTGCATTATGGTTATAGGTACATTAAGAAATCATTACATAACATCTGATTAATGTCATCTGAAAGGACAAGGGCCAAACCTTCTGTCAAAAAAATAACTGGAATACAACCAGCAGCAGCTCAGACCAACTATTTACAATATAAAAAAAAACAGGAAGTCAAACCCAGCATGACCTTAAATACTAATAACGGCCCTCTGTTTATTTAAAATCATCTAAAAGAAAGTCTGCACAGCAGTTCTCACAGGTTCTGGCTCCTATATGGTTTTTGGAGCGCAAGTTGTTTCATTATCATGACACAAAATGCCACCATTGCCCCAGAAAAATGAATTCATGCAGCTCTGCACCACTGATGCCATCGTCTGTCTCCACGGCTGGATGCGACTGGACATAGCTCTGTGGAGGAGCAAAAAGTGTGGATGAGCAGGAGGCACGTTTAGGATAAAAAACATCTAAACAAGATGATAGAACAGCCAACAGACTGGAAGCAAGGGCAAAACAGAAAAAAAACACAGGTGGACTGGTAAAAGGCAACATGGAAGTCTGGAAATCAGACTGTCCTCATGAAGCAATGCACATCTTCATAGATACAGTATGCCAGGAACCAGGGAGAACCAAGTGTTCCTCAGGCCAAAACATATGCACTGGTCCTTTTCTTAAGATAGCCAGAAGCTAGAATTGTTGTTTTGCAATTTAAATATGGTTAAATGTAAAATATCCAGTTAAAATTATTATGTGATGCCATCTTCTCTCAGCTGTTATTCCTGGCTGAAAATCCAAAAGCACAGTTTTAACGCGTCCACTGTCCTATCAGGTGACCCCCCCAGGACAGGGTTGATAGTTTATCCCTTGGTAAGGGTGAAGTGGTGCACTCCTAAAAATAAATAAATTAAAAATAAATAAGCACCTGGGGCCCATCTGACCCCATTAACAATGTGGGAAGGTCAAATGTATAACAGGTTAAGATAATTATGAACTAAATTCTCTGTCGGTCAGACAAAAGGCCAAGCCGCTCAGCCAGCCACATCATGAATGACGTAAGGAGAGGTCACCGATGACACCTGATGGTTGGATGGTTTTCCTCACAGCTGTTAATGGAGATTAGAATGTCAGACCTGAATCCTCTTCGGTGTGTTCTTGCTGTGTTTAGTTTCAAATTTCATCCTTCAGTTCTTTTTAAAACACAGAAAAGGTTTATTTACCTGCAACGTTTCATCTGAGGCTGCAAACATCATCAGGCTGACGCCGATGGTGGCGTCACTTCCTTCGTTTATCCGCGGGCAGCAGAGGACGTTGTCGCCCTCTGCTGCCCGCTCTCCCCTCTCCGATGATGCAGTCCCATGACAAGATACCAGCTGGATGACGATGACAAGGCGATGTCTTGCTAGGCCAGGTGCCATGCTTACGAGCACACTGTCCTTTCTTGGTCAAAGAAAATGGTTCAATGGAACAGACTTACTTCACATGATTGTGGCTTGCATGGCGTTCCCAAATGTGTGTCACGTGACACACAATATATAGTTATATTTTACAGTATAGGTATGAGTTTCATTATAGATGTATAACGAGCCTTTTAATTTTTTTATTGGGTATATATTGGTTAAAATAAATATGTAAGTGAGTTAGTACCTGCTAGCCACCGAAGCTGCAACTTCTAAGCAACTAACCAACCATAGCTAACTGCTTTGGTTCTAAAAAAAAATTTTAGATATCGGCCTGATGGCTACTATTATTTGGCTTACATTTAAACTGGACATTTGCCCCCGAAGTAGCTGCTGGCAGCTGATATGTAATCCTTTTGAAAATACTGTGTTGTATTCTGGGACTTTATTGACCAAGGCCAGGCTACAAGGTACCTCCTCATGGCTATCAAATGGAGAACAGACACTTCAGTAGAACATGAATATTGGAACACGCCTTGGCAGTTCCTGATGACGCATCTGCTAGGCAACCGAGGCAGAACCAAGGCATCAAGGCGAGGTTCCTTGACATCAAGAAACACCCAGAACCCTTAAACAGCTCATTGTGGAAGGCACTGAAACTGTCAAAAATTAAAATGCTGAGAACAATTTATTTGAGAGATTCATAAATATGTTGTCTGTTCATCATAGAAAAGCAGCCAAAGTCATATTATGTCCCCTGTAAGGGAGCATCTGGGGGGATTATTAGATAGATTAGTTCTTCTGATATGCCTTCCAAAATGTTGGTTAATACTTTTATTTTGAAAATCAGCTAAACTATTTGTACAGAGCCCGCGAAAGTGGAGATAAAAAACAAGAACTACGGTAAGCTCAACAAAAGCGTCTTGCTGTGTGGAAGAGGAACCTCCGTGCGTATCTGGAGCAGAGCGCAGCTCCACCCAAGGCTTTGGGTGGGACTGGCGGTGCCTCTCTGTTTCCACCTGCCTGTGGCAGAAACATGGAAGCTTCTGGGATAAAGGACAGAAAAAAGTGGTCAGACTAACACGGACGTTCTGTTTTTGAGTATTTTAGGGAACGTTGGTGTGGACACCTGAGGTACTCAGAGAGAAACCTTTAACTCGAGTTGTTTATTCATATATAAACATACATGGACTCTGAGTTGGTCGAAAGAGAATTCCAAAGCATGGATGCTCCTGGGAGGTCCATCTGGAAGGTTCTGGCTCTTCTCGCAGCTCTCCTCCGCAGCAGCCTGAGCTCTCCGCTGGACTGTCCCTCCAACTGCTCCTGCTCGTCCACGGAGATCTTCTGCAGCAGATCCGACAGCATCCAGCTGCTCTTCCGCGACCCGGAGGGCGCCGGGAACGGAACCGATGCGTTCCAGGACCTTCTTCAGAACATCACCACCATGTGAGTGACGATGGAGGTGTTTTTAAAATGAAATCATCATCCATCTTGGCAACAACTTGTCTGGAGCAGAAATATCACCGTAAAGTTCTCCGGGGAGAAGGTTTTTCTGAACGTTTGTCCCGCAGAACACTAAACTCGCATTTTAACAGAAAACGTAAGAGGTTTGCTGATTCATTAGTTTCATTTAACACTATTTGTTTATTTTTAATTTTCCTTCTGAAACAAAATGGAAAAAAACTTTTGAACTCCAATTGACGGTAATATTAATTGATAATATATAATTAATGGTAAAAACATTGTTGTTGTTAAGATGGATTATCAATAGATAGTTAATGATACTGGTCATGTTAACATTCTGTATGAAAAGTGTGTATTTATCAGAGGACACATACTACTGGAGTTTTTATGTTTCTGACTGGGAAGATCTGCGCTGACGTCCCGTCTTTATTTAAAGTGGCCTAATTTGTGTTTGTTTGCCATTTTAAATGTAGGTTCTGACTTATTCAGGAATGAAAGGTGTCTGGTATAAGTGTTCTGGTGGAGGTGCATCGCTCATCAATGAGTGGACTAAAGTCTGGTGCCGTTATTTTAAATAAAAACACCTCGTTGAGCATTAAGAACATTACTTCATTTTAAAATGTGCTTCAAAAAGCTCTGGTCAGGATGGCAGCTATACATGCAGGTGAATGTTGCCATAGTGATCAGTCTAGAGGGAAAGGCTGTCCTGTGTCCTCTATCACCAACCAGTACCCAGAAGGTCCTTGCTGCAGAGGGTTTACAGATTACTTTAGAAGTGAAAAGCTCACAGCCATCGTGAATCTGTCCGGCACACTGCTGCAGAACGAGGACCATCATGCTCTAGCCCAGTCCTGGTCCTGGGGGGCCGGTATCCTGCATGGTTTAGTTTGAACTCTGTTTCAGCACACCTGATTTCAATCAGCAGCTAATTAATAGGATTCTGCAGTGCCTGATGAGCTGCTGCACAGGTGTTTCAACTACTGAATCAAGTCTGTTGGAGCTGAAAAACCACACAACCTGCTGGATACCGGCCCTCCAGGACCAGGATTGGGCACCCCTGCCAGATGGGTTTGTCCTACTGGTCTTTATCAGCTGGGGCGCTTGGACAAGTAAGAGCAGACATCCATTTTCTTTAGTGCTTTTCCCAACGCTTTCCATAAAATGCATTACAATACCAAATCAATAGCTATTCATCAATAATGTGCTAATGTGAAAAAAAATCTTATCAACTTTGAAAATGAAAAATAAATCAATATTTTCATCATTATTACATTAGTGATGTCCAGGAATTTTGTTCAAATCTAAAATTATTGATTTAAAATCAATCACAGACTTTTGATGTGTCCCAGTTTGCTACATTTACTGCTTCGGCTGCAAATCTAGGCGGCACCGTAGCTCAGTGTCCTTTTTGATCAGAGGATATGGAATCTGATTCAGATACAACAGCAGTCCTACGTGTTACCTAACATTTACATTCATGACTTTATGGCTTATCTCTTCAGTATGAAGTCGCAGCTAGTCTTGAGAACCACCAATAGAGCAATACTGCCATGATATATTTCATATTTCATGTTTGGTTTATGGTTATTTTATTTACTATAAGCTGATGTTTGAATTCATGGCCAGAACAACTCAAGTGTTGCTTCAGTGTTGCTAGATCTTTTTGTCAGCTGTTTCCATGGTTACTGAGGTGGAATAAAACAGGATAATTATTATTATTGTCATTATTATTATTATTATTATTATTATTATTATTATTATTATCGTTATTATTATTGTCATTATTGTCATCAACATCGTCTTCCTCCGCTTATCCGGGTCCAGGTCGCAGGGGCAGCATCCCAACTAGGGAGCTCCAGATCGTCCTCTCCCTGGCCACCTCCACCAGCTCCTCCGGCAGGACCCCAAAGCGTTCCCGGACCAGATTGGAGATGTAACCTCTCCAACGTGTCCTGGGTCAACACGGGGGCCTCCTGCCGGCAGGACATGCCCGAAACACCTCCCCAGGGAGGCGTCCAGGAGGCATCCTGACCAGATGCCCAAACCACCTCAACTGACTCCTTTCAATTCGGAGGAGCAGCGGTTCTACTCCGAGTCCCTCCCGAATGTCCGAGCTCCTCACCCTATCTCTAAGGCTGAGCCCGGCCACCCTACGGAGGAAACTCATTTCGGCCGCTTGCATCCGCGATCTTGTTCTTTCGGTCATTACCCAAAGCTCATGACCATAGGTGAGGATTGGGACGTAGATCGACCGGTAAATCGAGAGCCTGGCTTTCTGGCTCAGCTCCCTCTTCACCACGACAAATCGTCTCAGCGTCCGCATCACTGCAGACGCTGAACCAATCCACCCGTCAATCTCTTGATCCCTCCTACCCTCACTCGTGAACAAGACCCCGAGATACTTAAACTCCTCCACTTGAGGTAGGACCTCTCCCCCGACCCAGAGTTGGCAAGCCACCCTTTTCCGGTCGAGAACCATGGTCTCAGATTTGAAGGTGCTGATCCTCATCCCAGCCGCTTCACACTCGGCCGCGAACCTACCCAGCAAGAGCTGAATGTCCTAGCTTGATGAAGCTAGGAGGACCACATCATCCGCAAAAAGCAGAGACGAGATTCTCCTGCCACCAAACTCGACACACTCCACATCACGGCTGCGCCTAGAAATTCTGTCCATAAAGGTAATGAACAGAACCGGTGACAAAGGGCAGCCCTGGCGGAGTCCAACCCTCACTGGGATCAGGTCTGACTTTCTACCGGCTATGCGGACCAAACTCATGCTCCTCTGGTAAAGGAACTGAATGGCCCTTAACAGAAAGCCACCCACCCCATACTCCTGGAGCTTCCCCCACAGGGTGCCCCTGGGGACACGGTCATAAGCCTTCTCCAAATCCACAAAACACATGACCCTTGCAAGGGTATAGAGCTGGTCCACAGTTCCACGGCCAGTACGAAAACCACATTGCTCCTCCTCAATCTGAGATTCAACTATCGATCGGACCTTCCTCTCCATTACCTTGGAGTAGACTTTTCCAGGGAGGCTGAGGAGTGTGATCCCCCTTTAGTTTGAACACGCCCTTCGGTCACCCTTCTTAAAGATGGGGACCACCACCCCGGTCTGCCACTCCACAGGAACTGCCCCCGATGACCACGCAATGTTGCAGAGACGTGCCAACCATGACAGCCCTACAACATCCATAGCCTTGAGATACCCAGGACGGATCTCATCTGCCCCCTGGGCTCCGCCGCTGTGTAGTTGTTTGACTACCTCAGCAACTTCTGTACAGATGGGCATCCATATGTTTGAACATTGTGTTCGTTATGGCCAAACTGCGGCTTGCACAGAAGTCCAATAACGAAACACCACTCAAGTTCAGATCAGGCAGGCCGTTCCTCCCAATCACACCCCTCCAGGTCATGCTGTTATTGCCCACGTGAGCAGTGAAGTCCCCCAGCATGACAATGGAGTCCCCTGATGGAGCACTATCTAGCACTCGTCCCAGGGACTCCAAAAAGGGTGGGTACTCTGAACTGATATTTGGCCCATAAGCACAAACAAAAGTCAGGACACGTTCCCGGACCCGAAGGCTTAGGGAAGCTACCCTCTCGTCCCCCGGGGTAAACCCCAACACACAGACAGAGAGTCTTGGGGCTAACAAAAAGCCAACCCCAGCCCTCCGCCTCTCACCCAGAGCAACTCCAGCAAAGGAGATTGTCCAACCCCTCTCGAGGACTTGGGTTCCAGAGCCAATGCTATGTGTCGAGGTGAGTCCGACTATATCTAGCCGGTACCGCTCAACCTCTGCCACAAGCTCCTGCTCCTTCCCCGCCAGCGAGGTGACGCTCCATGTCCCAAAAACCAGTTTCCTTGTCCAGGGATCGAACCGCCAAGGCTCCCGCCTTGGTCTGCCACCCGATCCACACTGCACCGGACCCTTCTTGTTCCTCCTGTGGGTGGTGGGTCCACAGTTGAATGAGCCCATGTATCCGGTTCGGGCTGGGTCTGGCCGGGCCCTATGGGCGAAAGCCCGGCCACCAGGTGCTCGCTCACGGGCCCCATCCCCAGGCATGGCTCCAGGGTGGGACCCCGGTAACCCTCCGGGCCGGGTACTCCCGACTCTTTGATTGCATATTCATGAAAGATCCTCAGATCCTCTATTATTATTGTCGTTATAGTTATTATAATGACAATTATAATTACTTATAATGTAATAATTACTTATTACAATTACAAATATTTATAATTACAATTATTGTTGTAAATTTTTATTTTATTACTATTTTTATTTATTAGTATGAATATTGTTATTATTGCTATTATAAATTGGATGTAACAAGTTTGGAGTGTTGGTCCTTCCAGATCTCCTTACTTCCATCCATGTTGGGTTTGGGTTTGTTCTCCAGACACTGGAGCTCTCAGTGGGATCAAGGTCTGGGGAGTTTCCTGGACCTGGACCCAGTATGTTGATGTTTTGTTTCTTATCCACTTAATTCTGACTTTATCCTTCTGGCCCGGAGCCTCATCATTGTTCAACAGCAAACTGTTGGTTGATGTTAAGAGCATAGTTCTTAAACTGGGGTCTCTGGGGTCCACGAACCAAGATTTGGGGGTTTATAAAACTCCTTGTGGGACCTGAGGGCACCCTGTATGTGTGGTGTTAAGCTAATTATATCATCACTGAGCTCCACCCACGCCCATTCCCTCAGCAACCACAGTTTGTTCCTGCTAATGAAGCTTATGACACTCATTCACTCATTAGTGCTGCGTCTGCAGCAATGTGGGCGTTGTACCAATCTGCCATGGTGAAGAAAGAGCTGAGCCAGAAGGCAAAGCTTTTGATTTACCGGTCGATCTAGGTCCCTACCCTCACCTATGGTCACGAGGTTTGGATAGTGTAGCGGAATGAAATGACTGTTTTCTGACCTAAAGGTCATGCTGCTCTGCTCAAGCTGGGGAGACACAGTCTCCCTCAACAACCTAATGTCAAGGTCTCATACCTCTCATTCTGAACTGCTTCACTTCCTTTCCAGCTCAAGGTCAAGACAGAAGACTCTACTCTTCTTTTTAATAAATAATTAAATAATGTCTGTTAGTCCCAATAATAATGTGAGCCAATGTAAATCAATATGTGAAATGAATTGTGTGTGAATTGTAATACTGTAATCAGTAGTATTGGTATAAGAATTTAATCTTAAACAGAAGCACTTGACCAGTGGTCCGCCAATGGCGGCCCGCGGGCCACGTCCGGCCCACGAGCCCTCTCTTTGTGGCCCCCAAACCCCGCGCGCACCCCCACCCCCAACGGCCAACCGCAAGATGTAGGATAGAGCTGAGGAAAATAATCATGTAATAAATGCATAAGACGCAGGCATAAACGATTCTGCATCATAGAAGTGTACCATAATCAATTCTAGAGGAATGTAGTTGTGTTATTTTAAAGGCAGCACCAGCGCAGCATCCATATCTGTCAGAGTGGTGTTCTCCACATTTACCGAAACTTTGGTCTGCCTTTATGTGGTACTGCAGGGCTGAACGCTGGAGTTATAACCTGAGACCGAACCCGAACCGAATCAGCCCGATCGGTTCTGTTGGATTTGGGCCGGGAATTATGTTAATTGAGCTTGTTGTCGCGCTGCGCGCTCGGCTCGCTCGATCAGTGACTGAGAGATAGCGGGAAATTGTGTGCTCACACAAGAGAGAAGATCGGAGGACGCTCCTCCAAACACGCGTTATTATTTTCATAATTTCATTATTGTTTCTCCTGGAAGCCCTCAGTCAGACCGAGTGCTGTGATGTTGGGAGATCCGGTCTTGGGGAGGGAGCGGGGTGAGTGACGGCGGCTGCAGCGTAACCTGTCTCTTGTATTTAGGAGCACTGAGAAGTTAAAAGGAGAGAGAAATAGAAGATAGAAGTTCTTGTTCCACTTTATTATTTTGTTTCATGATGATAAACTGATGTTAAATTCAGCTTAAAGAGAAACTGGGAGGAAGCTTTGGTTCATTTTAAGTTACAGGAGATCTTGTTTCCTATCTGCTCATCCAGAGACAGCATGGACATGAGGGTTACATGGTGAGGGTCCCACAGGACAGGTTAGTGCAGTCACAGCTGAGCTGGAGGGGGACAGGCGCTGTTCTTCTTTATATTGCAAGCTTGTGTGTTATGTGCATTACAGCCAGCGATCCAAACAGCAGCAGCAGCAGCAACCCCCCCAGTCCGGCCCTCTTGCTTCTGGGTCTTCGGACCATTATAATTGAGGACCCCTGCACTAGACACTCATATCACAAGTAATGTTAAAATCACATGACACATTCCTTTGCCTCTCCAATCAGAGCTTTCCTTTCTGACACATGGCATGGTCTGTGTGGTGTTTATTTTGGTGTGAAATTCTGATTCGACCATAAATCAAAACATCTGAATTATAAAACTAATTCCCACGTTACCCTTAACTCAGTTCAAACGTTCTAGACTTGCGAGCCGGCCACTCGTAACTTTTTAACCACAAAGAACCTAACGACCAGCTGGATAAATAAACCTGTAGCAAGCTGCACCTGAAGCAACGCTCCTTCAGAGTAAAAGCTGAACTCACTGACCCTTCAGGGTCCCACTGGCGCTGTTTTCCAACTGTTGCTTACCTGGAGGCAATCCCAAGACTAGTCTGTCGTACCGTACGCTGTTTCACCGGCTCCGGTACCAAAGGGGGGTCCGAGGACCTGGCATTCTGGATCTACAACGGAGGTCTCCACCAAGGGTATGTAGCTCGGCGGGATAGCGTCTGAATGTGGTTTTTGAAACTCCGACTGTAGTTTAGAGCAAACATTCGCTCCCACACAGAACTAATGCTTCTCTGGAAACGAGAGTTCTGATAACAACATTCCACATTTACACCCTCCATTTTGCCTCATTCACACCTAGATCCATTCATCACACAGTGTTTAGAGTTAAAGTTAGAGTTAGCCTTGTTTTAAATTGTTTTGAAATAAATCTTCTTAAACTTTAAAACTTGTCTCTCTCTTTTGACTCTGGGTTAATACGAAGTGTTACCTAATCCCTGCAATGAAAAGTTCTGATCTTCTGGTTAAAATAATATTCAAAGATACATCAAAGTGATTTCATATTTTCTATGGAATCTCACCTTTTATGGTTTATTACGTAAGATGTAACTAACGAATCACTACAATAGTGACCGAAAGAATGAGATTGCAGATACAAGCGGCCAAAATGAGTTTCCTCCACAGGGTGGCTGGGCTCTCCCTTAGAGACAGGGGGAGAAACTCGGTCATCCAGGAGGGGCTCAGAGTAGACCCGCTGCTCTTCCAGATCAAGAGGAGCCAGTTTAAGTGGCTCGGGCATCTTGGTCAGGATGCCTCCTGGATGCCTTGCTGGTGGTTTTTTCTGGGCATGTCCAACTGGGAGGAGACCTAAGCGAAGACCCAGGACATGTTGGAGGGACTATGTATCTCAGCTGGCCAGAGAACGAATGCGTTGGGATTCCTCTGGAGAGAGGGACTTCTTGGCTTCTCTGCTTAGACTACTGTCCCCGTGACTCGATCCTGAACAAGTGGACAATAATGGATGGATGGATTGTTCTTGGACCTCTGACCTCCTCTGGATTTCTTTGGAAATCTTAGGGTTAAACTTTTAAACGTTTTCTTGTGTTTGGTTGTTTCTATGGGTCCTCCACCTGAGTCATTACAAATGAGCATTGATGAAAATGCTCACTGAGAATAACCCAGAAGAATGCTGTGGTAGTGACACGTTGATCATCTTTCTCTACAGACACGTTGAGAACTCAACTGGACTGGAGGACCTGTGGGACTCCAGCATGAGGCTTTATCCTGGCTTACAGAGGCTGTAAGTTGTAAACCAAAATAAACATAATTTCATTTGAAATGCATGATGTATGTTGAAAACAAGCAAAACATCTGTAAAAACTAAACATCTGTGTCGTACAGATTATTACATTAGCATTAGCCTTAACACATTACCAAAACAGCCACTTGGGGTCTCCCCAGTCAATGAAGCACCAGCCCACGGGGACTGAGCAGGCCAGTCCTTTGAAGGATGCAACCTGTGAATTTGGACACAGCTGCATGTGTTGCTAGTTAATGACTGATGTGTGCAACACAATGTGTGAAAGTTTGACTTGTGCAAAAACGTCCATGACATGCAGTTGTGTTCACTAACTCGCATTTCAGTAGGAAAAAACAAAGATGATAAATACGTGCCAGATAGATGACATCCCATTAACCAGCCCTCCACCACAGCTTCAGTCAACTTTGATTCTGGTGTGTGTGTGTGTGTGTGTGTGTGTGTGTGTGTGTGTGTGTGTGTGTGTGTGTGTGTGTGTGTGTGTGTGTGTGTGTGTGTGTGTGTGTGTGTGTGTGTGTGTGTGTGTGTGTGTGTGTGTGTGTGTGTGTGTGTGTGTGTTATAGAACTATTACACAAAGCAACCTGCAAACCATCCAGACCGAGGCTTTCTCCAGAAATCCCCACCTGAACTACATGTGAGTACACACGTCCCTCTCTGATCACCTGAACTGACAGACTCTAAGCATCCTCCCAGATGGAGCAGGCAGATGGATCTAAGGGAGGACATTTGTGTTTACTTGTGTACATTTTCTGATGGTGAACCTTTTTAGCTGGGCTTGAGCCAGATTATTCAGATTCCAGTAAAGTGGTAACTGCCCTGCCTCTGTTGCTTGAATATTCTAAAATAACATTGTGTTTTTTTTAATAATTATTGTGTTTGAGTGATTATGAAAATCATACTTTAATGAGCTGCTGCAGCCGACTAACAGAAAGCAGAAAGATAGATTATTTTACTCAGGATGACTAAACATGTCCGCTGATCCCAGCCAACCGGCTCTGAAGGTCCGTAAGGTTTCAGACATCAAAGAGCCAAGACGTAAATGATGATTAAAAAGATATGCAAACAGTTCCAGTTTGTAATAGAAATGATCACTAAGACACATAAACAGACTGAAAATTAGCTGTAGCGTTTTTAGAAATCACCCTTTCATTGTTTACATTCTCAGAGACATAAACTGTCCTTTATTTATCAAAGTATAAGAATACTAGGAATAAATAAAGATGACCCCTTTAATCAGTGTATCATTCATTTTATATACATTGTGACAAATCTGATAATGGAGGATAAACTTCTTTTTTATTCATCCATCATTTTAAGACTTGGTCACTTATTCCGTCATTCTGACCTTATTTCCTTCCTCAGAAACCTGTCGAGGAACCCCATGTTGAGAACACTTTCCTGGCAGGCCTTTGAACATCTGCAGCTTCTTGAACTGTAAGTGTGCAGTAGTTGGTCAGCCAATCACATACACACACACACACAAACACACACAAACACACAAACACACACACACACACACACACACACACACACACACACACACACACACACACACACACACACACACACAAAGTAGTGCCTCTATGGCTACATTGTGATTTCTTAGTAAATAAGAGATAAACTTTATTATCTGAATCTCAGTGACTCTATAATTAGTTCAGCAGGTGAACTAGTAGTAGCACATTCCATGTCAAAGAGTCTATTGCAGGTCTAATGGAAAGTCTTAATCCCTGGCCACCAGACACGTTAGATCCACTGGTTCCTCTAACCACTTTGTTTTTGGCCCAGAGAGCATGCTAACTGCTAACTTCAGACCCAGAATGTCCCTTCTGAAATGACAGTGCTGCTGGGGACCTGCACTACGAAGCAGCCCACTAAACCATTAAGTAATCAATATGCAAATATTCATTAGCAAAGTTTCTCCCTTCCTTTGATTAGTTGCTCCCTGTTGTGTAATCCTGTATTAGGAACTGGAGAAGTAAACAGCTGATAGGCATTAAAGTAAATATCAGGACTTTGCTTTAGTCATTTGATATTTACTGTTTGTTTGGAGTCAGTTTTTTAGGGTGATGGTGGCACAGGAGTTAAGTGCTTGCCCCGTAATCGGAAGGTTGCAGGTTTGAGCCCCGCTCAGCTTGTCGCTGTTGTTGTGTCCTTGGGCAAGACACTTAACCCACCTTGCCTGCTGGTGGTGGTCGGAGAGACCGGCGGTGCCTGTGTATGGCAGCCTTGTCTATGTCAGTGCGCCCCAGGGCAGCTGTGGCTACATCGTAGCTCACCCCCACCAGCGTGTGAATGTGTGAATGACTGATAGTGTTGTAAAGCACCTTGGGGGGTTCCAGGAATCTAGATGGTGCTATATCAAATACAGACCATTTACCTTTTACAGGCACGTCACCAACACCAAACATTGGGTTTCTGCTGCTAGAAAGATCAAGTTCACACTGGAATCATTATCAGAATTAACACATGGACACCGACTGCTCTTTTCTTTCAGGCATTTAGAGGAAGTGATGTTTACCTGTGGCTGTCACATCCGCTGGCTGCAGCTATGGCAACAGAGGGGAGAGGCAGGGCTTAGCAGCCAACAGTTATACTGTTCCTCTGGCAACACGAGTATCCAGCTGCAGGACATGCACGTCAGTGATTGTGGTGAGAATAAATCGTTTGTGTTTGTTTATTAAACAAAACGTATTAGCCTGAATAACTCTGGCAGAGCCCCAGGATATTTAAGGTTATACAGTAGATGTTTGTGAAGGTCATGATGCAACAGTTTTACAATGCATGTACATCTAACTCATTTCTGTTAAAACAGCATAAACATGCCATTAGATCTTGGAACAGCATTTGTTTCCTCAGTGGCTCTGTCCACATACACCACAACTATCTGAACTGAACTTCATGAGATAATAAATGAGGTTTATTATTGTTTTACATTCAGCAAAACCCAGAGAGTGTGATAGTCACAGCCTTTGTTTATCGATTCCAGACCTGCCTGTCATCAGCGTCAGCCACAGCAATCTCACCGTAGTTGAAGGCGGTCAGGTGACACTGATCTGTAATGGCTCTGGATTCCCACTACCTACGGTGGACTGGCATGTCAACGGCTCACAATCTGTCACCACAAAACAGGTACTAAAGGTCTTCGCTCACTTATTACACTGGGCTGCAATTTATTCTAGAAACATGTCTTTAACATGTCTTTTTTCCCATTGGTTAAGTTGACATGCAACATGTTTTTAAGGCAGCTGGTGAACTTTTGTTTCTAAGAAGACTGACTGAGGAAAAGGACAAAAACATAGAATATCAGAAGTGGAACAAAACACAAGAATGAGTGATGTAATAGTGACGGGACTGGAGACAAAGCACAGGACAGATGCGAGAGCGAGAGCATCGGAGAGGGGGGACCTATCAGAGCAGGGACAATAGAAACAAGTGATAGATTTTCTTTAGTAGTAAAGGAATAAACATAAAAGACAAGGACATAGAGGGGTGCTGTCATCTTCCAAAAAATACAGAAATCAGACATTTGCTGTTAAAATACGCTTTGTGAGTAGAAAGCAGAAGAAAGAATTGCAAAAGCAAGGAAAAAAGCTGAAAGGAACAAATGTAAATATAAATGAGCACCTATTTAAGAAAAATGCAGATATCACAAAACAGACAAGATTACTGAGAAAGCACATGGGCAGCGCCAGGCAGTAGCTAGGAGTCGCTAAAGCAACGACTTAGCAACCCCAACTTTTAAAGAGCAAGTCACCCCCAAATCAATGTATTTTTGCTGATAATCTATATAAATGAGTGTCTAGTCGTGCTGCAGACGCGAAGTCAATAATTTGGCACTTTAGTGCATCTTAGTTAAGATTTTAATATTCTGCCTAAAACTGTCCATGTTGTCCCCTCTTCAGGTGAAAACTCTGCACTACATTTGAATTTAAATCTGCCATCGTTACTGGCTAAGAGTTTCATTAGTGGCTCCACCCTCTCGAACTGCCAGGCAACAGCATTTGTTGCTTTTTGTCAAACAGGAAGTGGAAATCGAGGGTGACTTTCTCTTTAAAGAGCAAGTCACCCCAAATCAACTTTTTTTTGCTGATAAACTAAATAAGAGTGTCTAGTCATGCTGCAGACGCGTGTAGTCAATAATTTGGCACTTCAGTGCATCTTAGTTGAAATTTAAATATTCTGCCTAAAACTGTCGGTGTTGTGCCGTTGTCAGGTAAAAACTCTGCACTGTATTTTAATTTAAATCTGCCACCGCCATTGGCTAAGAGGTATGCTATGATGTAAACTGGTACATTATGATGTTACAATGCTGTCGTGAGCCTGTTTGTGTGTATTTGTTAGCAGCTCCGCCCTCTCGGTCTGCCAGGCAACGGCATTTGTTGCATTTTTCAAACATGAAGTGAGAGTGGAGTTAAACTCTGGTAGGGGTTGACTTGCTCTTTAACAAGCTAACTCGTGTGCTGAGGGAATGCCATTGTATGTGACGCCACTCAGGTCTTTCTCAGTTTTAGCCCTCAAGCTGTGGAACTGTGGACCTTCCGCTCATGGTCAGAAAAGCACCCTCACAGGCGTTTTTTTAGGTCTACAGATTATGTTTTTAAGGGCAGTCGATGAGAAGGAAATTTACGATATAGTTACAGAAGTGAAGAATGAAACTAGTGCGGATTGGAATGATATAGAAATGACACTGAAAAGTGTCATTGTAAAACCATTAACCCGCATTTGTAACTTTTCTTTTCAAAAAAGTGTTTTTCTGAAAAAGATGAAAGTAGCAAGGGTAGTTCTTATCTACAAAACAGGAAATAAGCACCACTTTACCAATTATAGACCAGTGTGTCAATACTTTCACAATTTTCAAAGATATTTGAAAAACTATTTATTAAAAGATTTGATGATTTTATTGATAAGTATTAGTTGCTGGAGGAAAGCCAGTATGGTGTCAGGAATAACAGGTCAACAGCCCTGGCAC